CGGAGGCAATACTGTGTTTACATACACCACCATCTTGACTGGAGATCCCTTGGTGTTAGGGGATTCTTAGCATATATTCCCAGAAGTGAGATTGCCAGTCTTTCATTTAATTAAATTAATTAATTAATTAATCCTCATCCAAAAATATTTTTCCATTTATCTTCAGATAGAGTGGGAGAGAGATAGAGAAGGAGAGAGAGAGAGTCATTGATGTGAGAGAGACACATTGATTGGCTGTCTCTCACACAACCCCAACCAGGGCAGGGGATGAACCACAACCGAGGTACATGCCCTTGACTGGAATCAAACCCACGATTCTTTGATCCATGGGCCAATCCGGCCAGGGAAGGATTGCTGTGTCTTTTTTTTTTTTTTTTAATGTTATGTTCATTATATTCCACAAATAAGTGAGATCATATCATACTTGTCTTTCTCTGCTTGGCTTGTTTTGCTTAGGATAATACTCTCCAAGTCCCTCCATGTTACCTCAAATGATAAGAGATCTTTCTTACAGCTGCATAGTACACCACTGTGTATATGTACCACAGCTTTCTTATCCATTCGTCTACTGATGGACACTTGGGCTGTTTCCAGATCTTAGCTATTGTAAATAGTGCTGCTACAATCATGGGGGTACATATATTCTTTCTGATTGGTGTTTCAGGCTTCTTAGGGTATATTCCCAGAAGGAAGATCACTGGGTCAAATGGAAGTTCAATTTTTAATTTTTTGAGATAACACTATATTGTTTTCCATAGTGGCTGCACCAGTCTGCATTCCCACCAGCAGTGCACTAGAGTCCCCTTTTTTCCACACCCTCACCAACACTTGTTTGATGATTTGTTGATGGCAGCCATTCTGACAGGTATGAGGTGATACCTCATAGTTGTTTTAATTTGCATCTCTCTGATGATTAGTGATGTTGAGCATTTCTTCATATGTCTCTTGGCCACATTATATGTCCTGTTTGGAGAGGTGTCTATTTAGTTCCTCTGCCCATTTTTCAATTGGGTTTTTTGTCTTCCTTTTGTTGAGTTGTATGAGCACTCTATGTATTTTGGAAATTAACCCCATATCTTATGCATCATTGTCGATCATGGTCTCCCATATAGTGGGGGGTTGTTGTGTCTTTTAAAACACAGTTCAATTTTTAATTTTTTGAAGAAACTCTTTACTGTTTTCCACAGTGGCTGTACTGGTCTGCATTACCACCAGCAGTGCATGAGGGCTTCCTTTTATCCACATCTTCCCCAGCACTTGTTGTTTGTTGATTTATTGATGGTAGCCATTCTGGTAGATGGGAGGTGATATCTCATTGGGGTTTTAATTTGTATCTCTCTGATGATTAATGACCTTGAGCACTTTTTCATATGTCTCTTGGCCATCTGTATGTCATCTTTTGAGAAGTGTCTATTCAAGTCCTTTGCCCATTTTTAAACTGGATTGTTTGTCTTCCTGGTGTTTAGTTGTATAAGCACTTTATGTATTTTGGAGATTAACCCCTTTTCAGATGCATCACTGGCAAGTATGTTTTCCCATACCTTGAGTTTCCTTTTCATTTTGTTGATGGTTTCTTTGCTGTGCAGAAGCTTTTTAGTTTGATGTAGTCTTATTTATTTATTTTTTCCTTTATTTCCATTTCCCTAGGAGACATACTGGCAAAAATGTTGCTATGTGAAATGTCTGAGATTTTACCGCCTATGTTTTCTTCTACAATTTTTATGGTTTTGTGACTTGCATGTAAGCCTTTTATTTATTTTGAGTTTGTGTGTATGGTGTGAGTTGGTGATCTAGTTTCACTTTTTTTGCACGTACCTGTCCAATTTTCCCAACAGCATTTATTAAAGAGACTGTTTTTATTCCATTGCATGCTCTTGCCTCCTTTGTCAAATATTAATTGGCCATCATCCCACAGACCAAAGGATCATAAGTTTGATTCCAGTCAAGAGCATGTACCTAGGTAGCAGGTTCGATACTCAGCCTTGAATGGGGTCGTGTGAGAGGCAACCAATCAATGTGTCTTTCTCACACTGATGTTTCTCTCTTTCTCTCCCTCCCTCCTTTCCACTTTCTCTAAAAATCAATGGAAAAATATCCTTGGGTGAAGATTAACAACAACAACAAAATATTAATTGACCATAAAGGTGTGGGTTTATTTCTGGGCAGGAGCTGAGTGGAGGGAGCAAAGGTGGGAAGATGGGGGTCATCTGTAATACTGTCAAGTCAATGATAAAAAATAAATTTTATAAAAAATAAAATAAAAAAAGAAATAAAAATGGAAGAAAGAATAAGGAAAGAAAAGAGAAAACAAAAAGAAATAACTATAAAATAAAACATAAGTAGAAAAGAAGAAAGATAGAAAAGACTAAAAAAAGGAAAAGGAGAATTTTTGCCTCAGCAGTGCCTGCTGTGATCTCTCTTTGGATATGCTATTTGTGAAGCATGTTTAATACTGCTCCAAAGTTGCCTGAAGCTGGCCTTTAAGTGTGTTGGTTCTGGAGCTCTATGGAGGGCTTCTGTTAAAATCCAGCACCAGATGCTGTCTATGCCACCCCTTGGCAACATGTTTGAAGCCACAGGTGATCCACAGTTTGTGGCTGCCTCTGTTAGACTTGACTGTGCAAGCTAAGGACCAAGCTGTGCTCCAAGGGTGGCTTTTACGAGAACTGGGCCCAGGGTGGGTCAGCAAATGTCCCAAGTCACCCCAAGATCCACTTCTGCCTGCCTCTCTACTTGCTGGCTGTCTATTAGACTCAGTCACTGAAAGAGCCTCTGCCAGAATCAGGAGGATGGGGCTATTGGATCTCCTTTGAGGAAGAGATGCTGTTTAGACTTCAGGGAAGATGGTGAGTGTGATCCTCTGCCTCAGAGTTACACATCTTAGTTTGTTCCAGATTTTTTCCTGACCACAGCAGGACAGAGCCCCTAGTAGTCAAGTGAGTGGGGCCTCCAGTGCCCAGAGATTATGTCTGCTGGAAGCTGGGAGGGTGTTTCTATCAGATCTCCGGAGAGGGGTCAGCACCAGTTAGGTTCACAGGAATGTGGGGGGGGGGGCATGGCTCTACCCAAAAGCCAGTCACTGACAGCTTCTGAGTCTGCATAGACTTCTACATCCTAGCCTATGCTGATGACTCCCCAGTAGAGCTTAAGATTCACAGAGTAGGGAGAGAGGGAATTCAGAGGGTGGGATAATTGCTTTCCCCCAGGCTGATGTCGTTTGGAGGTGTTTGCTCTGCCTAAGAAAGATGGCTGCTGTGGTATCGGAGGACAACTCAGTATACAGTACCTTGTGGCTGTTCCCCTACCTCTCTCTCCAAAGCCACAAATCTCACACTCTCCTCAGGCAACTCCAACTGCCCTCCCTCCACCAGAGCCCAGGGTGATTGGCTCAAAATAAATTTTATGTGTTGGCCCTTTAAGAGGGTGCCTGTGTCTCCAGAAGGCCATGCCTCTCCTTGGCAAACAGAAACCCCACTGCTTTTCACAGCTGGATGCAATGTGGGCACCTTTTCCTGGTTCTGGCACTACAGGCTAGGGAGTCCTGCCTGTGGTTTAGGCTTCATGCCTCTCCAGGGGAGCCTCCCACAGCCGAGATATCCCTCCATAACCTTAGTTACCACCCATGGGAGTAAGGCCCACCCCTTTGGCATCTCTGCCCTTTCTACCAGTCTCAAGGTGGCTTCTTCTGTAAATCCTTGGTTATAAGATTCCTGTTTAGATAGTTGTTAGTTGGTAATTCAGAATGATTGTTCCCAAATTTAGTTGTATTTCTAGTTTGGTCCTGGGAGGAGGTGAGAGCCACCATTTTGGAAAAGGTTGTGGTACATTTTTTAAATAAGGGTTGGCCTGGCTCCTGTTTTGGTAAATAACATTTTATATTGACTATGGCTGCTTTCACACTACTCTGGCAGGTTTGAGTTCTTGTGACAGAAGTAAAATGGCCTGCAAAACTGAAGATATATACTATCTGGCCCTTTGTAGAGAAAGTTTGCTGATCTCTGCTTTATAGAAAAAAAAAGGGAATGATTAACCCAAACTACAGGATAATGGTTACCTCCAAGGAGAGAGAGGCTTCTAGCATCCTCAAGTAAGGAATTACTTCTTAAAGTAGTTGGATTTCTAGTAATATTATCCCTTAAAACTGGATACATGTTCTATATAGTTTTTTTTGTATAATATATTCTATAATTTAAAAAGTTTAAAAGGAAAAAAATTGCTTCTGATCCTGGCAGTCACCCCAGTGGGTATTAAGGACCCTGGAATGCTATGACTTATCTCCTGCATCTATATGTGGTACTGGCTCTGTCATCACCTTGTTTTGCGAATAGAGGAAAATTCTCCTAACCTATCTAAGCAGCAGACTATATCCAGAAGTAGCTTTTTATTCTAAAATTCTAGCCTTCTTAGAGTTGTAGGATAAACAAATGTTTTAGAGTTTGAAAGACCAAGATCTAGATCACCAGTCAAATGAACCTGCCAGTGCAGAATTCCTTAACGATATCTTAGACAAATGGCCACCTTTCCCTGCTTGAGCACAAGCCATGTGAAAGAAGACTGGGGTCATGAATAACATGTCTGTGGTTGTGGAGTCCCCACCAAGACCAAATGCTTTCATATCCTGCTCCCCAAATTACCTCTTAAACATACAACCACTACTCTTAACAGCCCCATGTCAAAGAAACTTGAAAATCATAGAATCTGGGCCCACCCATGGCGTGGAGGCTGTGCATGGATGCAGCTGGGATTCAGGCCTGTGTGTGGATAGGGGAGCTGTGTGTGGACACATCTGGAGTCCATGCACTTCCCCACATGACTCTCTACCTTCTGATCAATGCTGGTGGTCAGATATTCTTTATCATATCAGAATGAAATCTCTGCCACTCCAACTTCTTCCATGGATTCCTGTTTTGTTGTCTAGTGCATCACAAAACACACCCTTCTTGATTCATAAAACACTATGTATGGCATTTCCCCTTGGTAAAGTGCACAGTCCAACTTACCTGTAGAGATCTGTGATCATCTTGTCCTCATATCGAGCACAAAGGTTGTTGAGGGCTTGCTCATGCTGGCCAAACAAGCGTATGTAGTTGGAGGTAGGGAAGGGCTCCTTACAGAGGCATGTGATGGTTTCCACCATTTTATACTTGTTAATGTGTATTCTGAAATAAGTCCCATTTTTCGCATTACCTGTTACTATTTCTGAACCCTGGAGGGGAATAGATCAGAAGAACAATATTAGAAACATTTCTGAACATTGGGAACTTTATCATAGCAATTTATTTTCCAAATGTAACAGACAAGTTATATATTTTCACTTGTTGCAAATAACTGTAACAGATATTGACTAAACTCAACAGAAGAAAGCTGTGTCTGAAAGCACATACTTGGATTTAATGACTAAATGTTCCTTGGGATATTTTAAATTAGTTGCTAGGTTACAGTCAATTCTGTATTACTCAGTACCTCACACAGCTAATACGTGGAACTGGTTTCTTCTGTTTTGTGATGTGTGGTAAGTGTCAATTTTCTTAGTTTTTTCACAGCACCGTTTTGAGAAAATCTCCTAGTTGAAAATGATCAGAAATAATTTCATCTTTTTAAAGTTTACTTAAATAAAGGAAACATATAAAAGGTGAATGTCTGACAGCTGGGTTTGGGGAGGTTTAGTTGTTTGGTAAGGTCTGTCTCCAGAAAGAACATTAATTTTATGGAAATATACATACACATTCTATAGGCTGCTTTTAGTTGTCAAAGCTTTATGCTCCCTAGAAACTGGCTAAAACTGCCAGATAAGCCCAGATAACAAGAAAAATGCCAGTCTATTCCATGTCACCACCACTTTTTCTATTTCAGCCCCTAATGACTACCAACCTACCAACCAGAGACACATTCCCCATGGGCTCAGGCAACCAAACTGAAAAACTGAAGCAGACAAATAGGTATTGTTGGTGGTGGTTGAACCTTCAGTTTACCTCTAGACTCTGAACTTAGTCCCTGGTAACACTCAATAAATCTTTCCTGAGTGCATATAGATTTAAGCTTTTGCTCTGAACTTGAATGTGGCATTTATAAATCCAAGGCAAGCTGGACTACACTGATCCCAAACATTTATTTAGTCCTGGGCATGTCCTAGGGATTTTGTCTAAACAAGGACACACAGTTTAACTGGATTTTTAAATAAATTGAAGTAACTGGTGAGTGTTTGGATATCATATGGCAAAAACCCTGAGAAGGAGTCAGCCAATTATAAAGGCACAAGGTGAGGTATACAGGAGGGATATCAGGTAAATCCTGCCCCAAGTATGTGTGAGAAATTGAGTGTTTGGGGTGGGAGAGAGAGCAAATACAAGTGTTGGGAGTGGTGCAAGTGGTCCATCATTCATAGAGATGGATGGATACAGAGAGAAAAAGCTACCTGTATAGCAAAGGGTTCAGAAAAAAAAATTCAGCAAGGCATTACCTAACAAAACAATGGTACATCCTAACAGTAGCATTTATTAATAAACTATATTTCAAAACAGGACAATATGTTCACAGTACATTTTATACAAGAGATACAGTTTTAAAATGTATAGATAATTTCTTTTTTAAATCAATATTTTAACAAATGTCATTTTCTGTGGTTGGGAGACTGGGTCATTTTTGTTGTTTCTTCTTCTGTTCATTTGAATACTTATCATTTCTAATTTTTAAACAATGACTACTACTATTAAAATGTTAAGTTATTTAAAAATATTCTGGCTGTGCTGTGGCAAGAAACTAGATTTTTGGTGAAAAATTGAGAGGAAGAGAAATAAAACAGAAAGCAGAAGCAAGAAGGAAGGAAGAAAGGAAGGGAGGGAGGGAGGAAGAGAGGAAGAGAGGAAGGGAGGAAGGAAGGAAGGAAGGAAGGAAGGAAGGAAGGAAGGAAGGAAGGAAGGAAGGAAGGAAGGAAGGAAGGAAGGAGTAGGTGGGAGAGTGTGGAAGAGTAGGCCTTCCCAGGAGAAGAGTTTGGAAAAAGCCAGCTCGAGCCACAAGGCTGCAGACCATCTGGCGTCCTTATCTATCATCCCCTCACCCTTTGTTCTTGCCACAGTATTTCTCCAGTCCTAGAACACCTCATCAATTTTTTTCATTTAGATCTGTTTTCTCAAGAATTCTTGATTTCTCAAATTGAGCAATGAACACACTAGGCTGGGGTGCTTGGCATCACAGAATAATCCCTGGCATCAACTTTATTTAGTGGCCCATCACAGCAACTACTATTTCTGAATTAAATACATATAGACCTATGGAAGAATGTGCTCTTCATGTACCCTTCTAATATTAAATACAAAATTTTAAACACTAGTTGAGTTTGGCACCAGCAGCTTTAGGCTTAGTCCCTGGACCCAAGCCTGGAAAACCCCTTTGCAGCAGAGGTGACTTGGAAAAGTTGAGGAGGGGCTACTCTCCGGCTTTGGTGGTAGGGTGGCTGGGGTCCAGGAGAGAGCACCCTGTCAACTGCCCTGGCATAGTTTTAGTGCCAGGTTTCTCCAGGGCTCACTGGAGAGCAAAGTCAGCCATCCCACAAGGTCTTGGCCCGTCCTCCTCCTCCTTAAAATTTCTTTATGCTGAATGATTAAGAAAGGGAACACAGGCATCAAAGGGGCACACCATGAGATCTGCCCATGTGGCTGACAAAATGTTGACTTGGCAGCATTTCACTATATATTGCACCTTCTGCTCACAAGGACTCGATGTTCAGCGGGGATGATTTGGGGAAAGCTGAGTACCTCAAGTCTTGGGCCACCATGAAGTGGAGCCCTGGCAGGCTGCTGGCTGACAGCAAGGAGTCTGAGCATATGTGCCCTTAGATGTCAGCCAGTTCCAAAAGGGCTGTGTTGTCAGCATAGTTTTCAATGACTTCTTATCATGATCTGCTTTTTTTTTTTGTTCAGATCGATTGGGAAGGAGAGAGAGGAAGAGAGAGAGAGAGAGAGAGAGAGAGAGAGAGAGAAACATCGAAGTAAAAGGTACACATCGAGTGGCTGCCACCCGCATGACCCTACCAGGGCCGGGGACAAACTGCAACCGAGATATGTGCCCTTAGCGAGAACCGAACCCGCGTCTCTCTGGACCGCAGGCCAATGCTCTAACCGCTGAGCCAAACCAGCCAGGGCTTTTTGTCTTATTTTTAATTTAAAAACTGAATTATAATCTTTGGGTTGCTTCTTTGTGTTTTAGCATATTATAGCTATGAGGGCTTAAAGAATGCAAAAAGCGGCCACACTGTAGAGAAAGAAATGACTTGTGCTATGATAGCTAATATTAACAGAAGAAGTAATTGTGATCACTTAATGAGATTTGGCACTCTGTTAACATAACGGGGTGGTGGGCATTCTGGAAATTTGGAATGCATCAAAATTTATGCACTGACATTAAGGACATTCACCTACAGATGGTTTGCAGACACAGATTGCCTTTGTAGGGCTAGGCAGACCTATTTAAATTTCTTAGGTCATTTCTATACAGTTGCTCACAGAGTGGGACAATCCAGTGGAGTGAAGAATGCTTCCTGTCTCTCCTCACAGAAAATCGCTCCACTAATGACAAGGCAGCTTCCAGCCCTGCCATCCCATGAGGGATTCTAGAGGAAATGATGATTTCACACACTTTCCAATCCTGTGGGATGTGTCTATTTTCTCCTTTTATGTATATAAGCAAATTGTTAGGAAATTTGGATCTTGAATTTAAGATTTTAATGAAGTAGCTTGTCTGGTGTGTTTCTTTTTCCTTCCCTTCGGATACAATTACCCTTTCAAGTTCCTTTATGATTTTGACAACGGTTGGAATATGGCTCTGGAATTCATGCCAAATGGAAGACATAGAATTAATCAGATTTGGTGAGCAAGAAATTAAGTTCCCAGCTCTCATTGTAAATACACAATTTTAAATTTAATGGTATCCAAAGCAGAATTGTTATGACATTTTTTTACTCTGTGGTATATAAGCCAACAAAGCATGTGGACTGGAATCTGTGAAAACTAGTTTATTATGGAGATGACTTGGGGTCCCCTTTCTTCATTTTGTCAGGTTACCTCTCAGAGAGCTCATGAATTACTAAAGTAACTTCTTACTTAAATATTTCAATTTGTGAGTGCTATAAAAGTCTGAAATTTGTACTACATTTATTGTAAAAAGAGTAATTTAGTTTCTTTAGTGAAATATTGTTCAATAGGCTCCACATCCTTAATTGCCCGGCTATGTTTAGGTGACTGCCTGACCATCTTGACAACAATTTTACTTAACCAAATTAATTCCAACTCCAAAAGATTACCATGGAGAAGAAAATGGAAAAAATCTGTTTAGATCTTCTGTACTAATTAAAAAGGAGGCCCACCTGGCAAAATGGTTAATTAAAGTCAGGAGCCCTGTTCAAATACCATCATAGCACCAGCCAAAGAATCTATTAAAGTTGCATTCTTATTAAAACTCTCATTATCTCATAATCCCCCCTTTAGCTCCTCCTCTGACTTTATTCAGAGACAGCCAATGGTTCATAAATAAATGACACTAAATGCAGGAAATCATAGTGTCCTTAAAGAATCTGGTCCTGTCTGAAACCAAGTCCAATATTTTCTAACTATTGAACATACTTGGCTCGTTATTTATCTATGATGACCAAAGTGCTCAGCCTCTGAACACATTATTTGGGTATCATTCTGTTCATCTAATGCCCTACCTTATCAGTGGTAGATTGTATTCTCCAAAGATGGCCACAACAATATCCTCCATCCCTCATACTCTTCTACAATATGATCTTGACACTCTTCCCAGTGAGAGATAAACTCTATGTCCCCTCTCCTTGAATGCTTCTGGCTGGTCCAGTCTTATGTAACCTGAGCTGTCACATAAGAAATCTGACTATGGTTGCCATGCTGTAAGGAAGCTCAGGTCACACAGACAGCTCAGGTGTGGTGCTCTGGTCAGCACTCCCTGTGTTTGTCATCCCAGTTGAGGTGAGCAACAAGCCTTCAGAGGGTCCAACTATTATGTCACCCTAACCTTCAAGTCTTCTGAACTAAGGCTGCAGACATTGTGGAAAAGTGACAAGCCCTTCCAAATGTGCCTTGTCTGAGTTCCTGACCCACAGAATTTGAGCAGAATCAAATGGCTGCTTCATGACACTGTTTTGTTACATAGTAACAGAAACTGGGACATCATTTGCTATGATCCTTTATTTTT